GGGGGGGAGTCCACACCAGTCCTTCCCAGCTGTCCTTGGCCGCACGTCTGTAGCTTGGCCCGGTCCGTTGCTGCCTGGGCCCCAGATGGCCCTGCCTGTGTCTCCATGTGCTTCCCGCTGCCCTGGGGTCCCCAGTCCAGACTGATGGGTAGCTCCGGCCCACACATACCTCATGACCCAGGGAACATAGGACCATGGCCCCCCAGGCTGCCTACAAAATAGCTGTCAGGTGAGTCCTCTGCGTAGGCCTGGGTTCTGCCTCCTACTCAGATGACTGCTGCGGCCAGATGAGCCCCATCTGGGGATCTTCCAGCCAGAACCTTAACGTGTCAGAGAAAAGTAGGCCTGCCCCCGGATTTGAAGCCAGCGTGGGGCATGATCCCCCTGCAGGTTCCCCAGGCTCAGACCTTTGGCTCCAGCCCTCTGGGTGGAAGCATCCCTTCCTCCTAATTTCTGGAAAGAGGCTGTGGGGAAGGGAGCCCCAGGACAGAGACTGGCCACGATCCCTGTTCAGCGCAGGTCCCTTTGCCCACCGACTGTCCTCCTGAGTGAGTTGGGCAGATGAGCCAACAGAATGGGCAGCAGAGTTGCCGCTTTGTGTTGAGCCTCTGCTGGTCAGCCACGAAAGGAGAGAAAGAACCCCTCCATTGTGTAGCAGGTTCCTCCAGCCTTCCCTCAACAGCCGCCTTCCAGAGGGTGCAAGGGGCGGGGTCTGAGGGCGGCATGGTACCTGCGTCTTGCAGGTGTGATTCCTCCAATGGTCACGTCCCATGTGACACACGTATGGGCCCGGGACCTTCCCTGGGCCCCTTCTAGCCGGGCATACCCGTTCTTGCCTGCGTGAACAGAACCTAACCCCGTGTGTGCAGGGGGTCTCCTGGGGGTCCGCTCCCTGCCAGCTCTGGGCCTGCGAGTGAGCGTGCGTGCCCTGTGTCTGTCTGCCTGGGCGTCCCATGTTGGTTGCCAGTGGGAAATGCTTAGGGGCAAGGTGGAGTTGGGTCGCCTGGCTTCGGGCTGGAGGTGTCCCTGCCATGGTCCCTCTTCCTTACTGGGGACAGGGGCCCTGGCCACTGCACAGGGGTGGGCCGGGCGGGGCGGCAGGCGTTGTCCTCTGAGCGACACCCTCCCCCCCAGGTGATCCGCAGGGGCTGGCTGACCATCAACAACATCAGCCTGATGAAGGGCGGCTCCAAGGAGTACTGGTTTGTGCTGACCGCGGAGTCTCTATCCTGGTACAAAGATGAGGAGGTGAGTGGCTGGGGGGCAGGGCAGTGGGGCTGGGATGGGTGGGTGCTCACTCATTCACTCTGGTTCATTCAAGAAAGGCTCCCTGAGCATCGCCAGTATCCCAGAGCTCCGGCAGAGAATGGTAATGGCCAGGCTGGCCCCCTAGGGGTCCAGCCGGGTGGCAGCTCCACTCCTCCAGGCTGGAAGGGAGATGGGGGAGGGGAGCCCTCAGTGGGCTAGAAACTGACCCCAGCCCCCAAAGTCACAGTGAGGCATCCCTGGCTCTCAGAGTGGGCAGGGCCCGAGGTCAGGGACTCAGGCTCACAGCCAGGCTGCTGAGGTGCTGGGCTTCCAGCGTCTGCAGCCTGCACAGGCTCAGCCGGGCCCTTAGCCTCCTTAGGCCTCTGTCTCCTCATCTACGAAGTAGAGCGGAATGGGCCCCGGGACGGGCCTAGCCATAGTGTCTTTCGAGCGGTCCGCGTGTGCTTGTCCTTATCCAAAGGACGTGAGGAGGCCTCTGGGAGCACTGACCCGGGGGAGTAGCCTGCAGGCCGCCTCATACCGCAGTCTCCATGACCCTGTGGACAAGGGCTGCGAGTCCAGTGGGCAGCCTCGGGCAGCGCCGCTGTCGGGGTCCCTTCGCCTCCACACGGGCCCATCCTCCCGTCCCGAGTGGCCCATCGCTTTGCTTCGTTCTCTTAACAACATGGCCGCGGCTCAGTGGCCCCGGGAACGATGCCGCCCCAGGGTGACTGCCTGTTGCTCTGTTGTGGGCTGGGCTGGCTTCTGAGGGTCACCAGCGAGGGGCACTGTGTTCCTCTCATTTTCCTGGGCCTACAGGCTCTCCCCGTTGGCCGGGGCAGTGTTAGGTATCTGACAGAGGCCCAAAGCGAAGGCATTGACAAGTCTGTCTGAGGGCGGGTGGGGATGACGCTTTTGCATTTTCACCCTCCTTCCGCCCCTGTTGTCTGAAACCTAGTCTGCTCTGGTGCATCAGCTGCCAGGCACGCCGAGGACTGGTCTCCACCTTGGGCCCAGGCATCTCCGCCCAGGGTGGGAGTGCCAGCCTTGGCCACAGCCTTGGGCAGCTGTAGAGGGACTTCTGGGCCCAAACCCCGTCCCGGCAGTTCCCCGCCAGTCCAGTTTTCAGAGCTCCTTCTTTCCGCGTAGGAGGGGCTCCTTCATTTTCCCGTCGTGTGGGGGTTGAGAGCAGGAGCCCCAGACCCTCCTGTGGGCCAGACCAGAGGCACGGAAGCGCCGAGCGGGAGGAGGGGGGAGCGCCCGCCGGCAGTAACGAGAACCAGCAGGCCTGTGAAAGGGGCCCTGTGTGCGCCCCAGACACAAAGCAGGCTCAGATCGGGAGGGACCCTCAGAGTTACACACGTGGCCGAGACCCCCCGATGACCAGGCCACCTTCTCAGAGACCCCTCAGAGAGGCAGAACGTATTTCTTTATTTTGAAAAACCACCGAGAGGAAGCAGTTCCAGTGTGGGGTAGGAATAGGGGACCGATTCAGCCAAGAGCCCCCCGACCCCTCAGCGGGCGGCAGGCTCCCTCTGCCTCGCCCTGGCACCTCTCCTCCCACCCAGGCCCTTTTGTGACTCCCCAGTCTTTTGTCCAGGTCTCCACCCCAGTGGGAAGCAGGGCGGTGGGCGCCGACACTCACCTCCGGGTCTGCCTCGCTGTGGAGGTGGCAGCAAGTTTGGGGGGTGCGGGTCCTGACGCGCCGCTTGCCCGAGCCCAGCCTAACCAATGTGCAGACTACTGTACACATTCAGAGCCCCCTGAACAGGTAGTCTGAACACTGGGTTGGCGGGGCCGGCTGTCCATCCTGCAGGCCCCCCGGGGGGGGAGGGGGCAAGTAGGGCCACCGCGCCCCGGCCCCTCGGAGCAGGCGAGGAGGCCACTGCCTGCGCCGATCCACTTCGTCTCTTCTGACGTGGCACGGCTGGGGCCGGCTCGCATCTGGAGAAAGTTGTGGGTTTGCAGGAAATCCTAAGGAGGGGGTTGGGGAGCGGGTGGGCGTGGGCGGGAGGGAGGGCTTGGGTCCGCGGCCTGTGTGTGCAGGCGAAGGTCTCTTTGGGGGTCGGGTGGGGGCGGGGTGCGCGCACGGCTCTGCGGCTCTGTGTGCGTGTCAGCAGCCCAGGAAGGCAGTCGCTGCGCTCTGGGCGGAATCACACTATAAACAGTTCCAGATGTGGCGTCTCACTCAGGGCCCACAAGGACTGTGACTCAGTTACTTGGCCTGGCTGGCCGACTGGAAGCTTCCTGCCTCCTGACACAGCAGGGTGGGGGCAGCAGAGGCCCTTCCACCATCTTCCGGGCGGGGAACCCCTGCCCGGGCCCCTTCTAAAGCCCCCAAGACTTTTCTCGCGGAGGTTGGTGGGGCCCTGGGCCTTGCCTGGAGCCTTTCTTTGCCACCCTCTGTCCTTGGACTCCCAGAATGCAGCCTGAACGAGGCTTTCCCGGCTCCATGGCCCCCGGGCCCCTCTTCTGCTCCTCACTGCAGCTCGGCCGGAAGGAGCACTCTGCCCTGCTTCCTTCTCTGCCAGAGCCCAGGGAATGGACTCTGGAGCCATAGACATGAGAGACACACAAAAGAAAACCCTAGTAGTGCCTCATACGCTCACCTTAATCCTCACCTCGCACAGGGAGGGCAGGACCCCTGTCCACGTTTGACAGATGAGGAAACTGAGGCAGAGAGGGGCAGTGGCTTGCCCAAGAGCATATGGCCAGGGAGGGGCAGAACCCATCTGAGCTCCTAAGGCTGCAGGGCCAAGCCCATGCACCCAAGCCTGCTGCTCACTCCTGCCTCTCTTCCTGTCGTCCTGAAACTTGGAGCCAGCCCCCACCTGCTAGGGATCCCCTGGCCCCCTTCCCCTCAATCTCTGTGGCTGTTCCGGAATTTGGAGGCAGCAGCACGTTGGGCTCTGTTCTGGGGCCTTCTGGTACACAGGGACAAAACAGGTGAAAAGTGAATTCCTGGGTGAGGCCCGGGCATAAAGGGTGATGGGCAGAACCTGGCTTTGGGGCACATGGGCTTCTGAAGTCCCACTGTGGCCCACTCCCCCTGCCGTGTGGCAGCCACCTTCCCTCTCTGAGCGCAGCGCTTCCCTGGAAGAGATGGGGGAAGGTCACTGGAGTGACTGTGGGTCACGTGGGCCTGGGAGCCAGGGGATCCTGACGCACCCTGATGCTGTTTTCTGGTTTCCTGATGTAGAAAACTCATTAATGCGCCCCACACACACGCTGTCCCCATGGGGAGGTCTAAGATGATGCACCTGCAGGGGCCCAGCCCCACGCTGGGGGTACAGTGGGTGCTTAGCCACTGTCGGTGAGTAAACGTTGGCTTCCGTGACCCACATCCTCCCTGAGCTGCTTCCCCGGCAGTCATCAGGACTGAGGCCGGGCACTCAGTGGGCGCTTCCTGAACAGGACTGCCCTTAGGAAGTGAGTGACACTTCTGTGGCCTTGGAGCTCAGGCATCACTTCGAGGGGCCTCACTTTTCAGCTCCAGGAACTTCTGAAGCTGATGAATTTTAAATCCCAGCCCCACCCCTGAATCGTTGCCTGCCCCACTTGGCCTCAGTCTCCCTCTCTGTAAAATGGGATCACAGTGGTAACTCAGTTACAGGCTCATCATGAAGATGTAGTAGTTAATGGTTTCATTCACGCAACCTGGTGGAGAAGGGGTTGGATTCTGGGTAGAATGAGAGCTGGCCAATGTCGAGTATCCACAGTGTGTCGGCAGTGAACAAAAGAAACAGAAGTCCCTGACCTTGAGTAACTGACAGATCAGGCCGGGTGGACAGACGGTAGCCTAAGTCCATGAGCAAGATGATGTGGTGTGTCCAGTTACATGAGGGAAAGTACCAAGAGGAGGAGGAGGGTGGGGGGGGTGGCGAGAGAGAGAGAGCAAGCAAGCAGGGTGGGGACAGGTCAGGCTCTCCAGGAGAGTCCCCTCTGCCCAGAAACCTGAAGGACGCACGAGAGAGCCATGTGGGCATTGGGAGGAGGAGCATTCCAGCAAAGGCCCTGGGGTGGCATCCAGCCCAGGGCATCCTCAGATCCTGTTAAACAGTCTATGGTGACCCCTCCCCTTCCACCCTCAGGAGAAGGAGAAGAAGTACATGCTGCCTCTGGACAACCTTAAAATCCGCGATGTGGAGAAAGGCTTCATGTCCAACAAGCATGTCTTCGCCATCTTCAACACGGAGCAGAGGTGAGGGCCCACGGGGCCAAGGTTACTGGCCTCGTTTGGTCATTCAGCAGCATCCACTGAGCACTTTCTGCATAAAGTCCCTGCCCCGGGGTCTCATGTTCTAGAAAGGGAATTAAGTAAGAGGCAGAAAACTGCCATGGGTGCTTCCAGCATGTGGACAGGGAGGAGGATCTCTGGGCAGAGACATGATGAAGTGAGGTGGGAGCCATAGAGGGTTCTGAGCAGAGGAGGGACTGGCCCTGGCTCGGGTGTTCACGGGCGTCCCCCAGTGGCTGTGGGGGGGCACAGTGGGGGTCAGGGCTGGAGCTGGGAGACCAGGGCTGATTGGGTGGCACTGGTCCAGGTGGGAGATAGTGGGGGCCAGGCCCAGGTAGGGCTGAGGACTTAGAGGAGGTGGCCTATTCTGAGAGTCAGAGCTGACCAAACTCCTGGTGGATATGGATGCAAGAGAGGAAGGCACTTCCTGGGGACCCTCAGCACCTGCAGGAACTGAGCTGCCCTCACTGAGATGGGAAAGGCAAAGGCAGAGTAGGCTTGGGGACGGTCAGGGGCTGGGTTTGGGCCACACCGAGGGAGAGAGGCCTGTGAGACACCACGTGGGGAAGTTGGGGAGGCAGCTGTGTAGGTACAAGAGTCTGGTGTTCTGGAACGAGCTCCAGGCAGGGTGTGAACTGGGGTGTTGTTATTGCAAGGCAGTGTTCAAAGTCATAGATGGGGTGAGACCCCTGGGTGAGTGTAGACAGAGACGGGCCCAGGAGGCCCCTGGTGAATCCACCCCCACGGGCTTTGGGGGAAGACGTTAGCAAAAACAAAGATGCTTTTCTCAGCTTGGGAAGAGGCCCAGCTCTGGCAGGAGGTCCGAGAGCAGGAGGAAGGGCTGAGTGTGGACACATCCTCCCTGCTCCCCCAGGACCACCTTCCCTGCTGTCCATCGCTCCCACGCTCCCGTCGGTTCGAAGCAAGCCTCATGTCACGTTTTATGTAAGAATAGCTCAATCCAGCTTTGTTCTGGGCTGGCCGAAAGCTCTGGGGCCCACTTTGGCCATCATCTGGCTCCAAAAACTTTTGTATCTCTTCGGCTCCTCCGTCTGTAACCCCATCTCCCCTACCTAAGAAGCCCGAGGGCACGTGGGAGAACCTGGGCTTTGTCCTGGGACAGGCCTGCTGGGAGGCTCTTCCTTGCTGCGTGCAGGGCAGCTGCCCCGCCTCCCCAGCCCCTGATCCCCTGTGCAAGGGGGTGAAGGTCGTACCTAGCATAGCATTTAGGAGTGAGCTCAGGAAAGCCAGAATAATAGTCATGGAAACAAGATAGAAGTTTGGGTTTTCTACGGCTTTACCCTCCAGGGCAGGTGGGGCAGCTCCACAGGCTTCCAGGCCCAGGTGCTCCTACTCCTGAGACCTCCTCCTCCTTTTTCTTTTTTAATTTAAATTTATTTATTAGAGAGAGAGAGAGAGAGCGCGCAAGAGGGGGTAGGGTTAGAGGGAGAAGCAGACCCCCCAGCTGAGCAGGGAGCCCAATGTGGGACTCGATCCCGGGACTCCGGGATCATGACCTGAGCCGAAGGCAGTCGCCCATCCAACTGAGCCACCCAGGCGCCCTCCTCCTCCTTTTTCAAGATGGCTGCCCAAGGTCCAGCCATGATGATGTTCCAGGCAGTCCTAGGGAGGAGGAGAAGGAGCAACGAAGGCGTGCCCCTCACTCCCTAAGACTCCTTCCAGAAGTCTGAGGGCAGCCACTCATGGACTGCTCGCCGGCCGTAGCTCTGTCACGAGGCCATGACTAACCTCACACTCCAATCTCACACAGAAGCTTTGGGACAGCTTGGCCGTCTTGGCCACACCTGCCCTGTGGGACAGGATGGCGTGTGTGTGGCACAGATCCTGGCCTACAGAACATCGGCCATAAATGCCAGCCATAAATAGTGTCCATCTGCTTTTCCTCCAGCCTGTGGCTCTGAGCCTTCCTTCTGCTCGCAGACCCACATTCGCCCAGCATCTCACATGCCTTCGCTGGGAGTCTCAGTCCCGTCCTTGGACAGCTCCACAGCCCTCCGTCTGCCCCAGCCCAGCGCCCAGGAGTCAGGGCACATTCTAGACCTACACTGTCCAGTGCAGTAGCCATTGGCCTCATTTAGCGATTTAAATGTAAATTGGCTGAAATAAAATGCAACCCAAATTAACTTCCTTCGTCACCCTAGCACTATTCATGGTGCTCACAAAGAATCCACCTGTGGCTTCTTGCTACCATGGCTGACAACAGCAGTTGAGAACGATCCTGCCGTCACAGAATGTTCTTTTGGACAACTTTGCTGTCACCTCCCTGAAAACACCTTGCTGGGAGCTGCCCAACCAGGGGTGTTGAGGGACACCTGCCCACTTCTGAGAGTATCTTTTACAGCCTTTGGCCCCCACAGGAGAGCATGAAAGGGGAGCAGTTTCCAGGGAAAAGAGAGGCATCGACTAAAGCCCAAAAACAAAACCCCTCGATGCTGCTAGATGCAGATGAGCACACGCTCTGCCCTCGGTACGGTTCTGGATGCTGTAGGCACTGACTTTGCTCCGTCAGCCCAACAGGATGCCCAGGGCTCGGGTTGTGCCTGGGTCAGGTGTGAGTCCCCGTCCGTCAGAGCCCAGAGCCCACGCTCCAGCTCCTGCACCCGCCAGGCCCGTGGGCAGGGTCAAGAACGTGCCTGTTCTCTTGCTGCAGGAACGTCTACAAGGACCTTCGGCAGATTGAGTTGGCCTGTGACTCCCAGGAGGACGTGGACAGCTGGAAGGCCTCGTTCCTCCGAGCCGGGGTCTACCCCGAGAAGGACCAGGTGAGGAACTGCGCTGCCCGGCTGACACACCTTGGGCTGAGCTGACCCCTCCTGGGAGAGGAGGGGGTCCAGTGTTTTGCTGGATAGGTCATTTCCAGGCACGTAGCCTGTACTCTCTTGAGCAAACAAAGGAGAAAGGGGGAGAGGGTTCTGCCATCAGGGCCCAGGAGATTCTCCAACTAAAGCCAAGGCCGGGGAGATGCATGGCCTGGGATCCCATCTGTTTTGTTCACTTTCCTCCTCCTGTCCTTGAGGTGGAGTGAACATGGCTGCCCTCGGCCCCAAAATTAACATGTTCCGGTCCCCGGTGAGAAAGTCTAATCACCGTAGGCCATGGTCACCCTAGGTCCAGGCAGCACAGGCCATAGGCAGGCAGGGCCCCACAGTGCCGACCTGGCCATCGGGGACATCCCCAGAAAGCTGGTGGTGGGCGGGACAGGGCAAGCACTTCCCAGAGAATGGGGGCTCCCCACTCTCGCCCCAGGTCACGGTCACCCCTCACCATCTGCTCTCTCCCCCTACAGGCAGAAAATGAGGATGGAGTCCAGGAGAACACTTTCTCCATGGACCCGCAACTCGAGCGGCAGGTGGAGACCATCCGCAACCTGGTGGACTCCTATGTGGCCATCATCAACAAGTCCATCCGCGACCTCATGCCAAAGACCATCATGCACCTCATGATCAACAATGTGAGTGCCTGGCCCCCGCCAGGGCCTGCCCGTCACAGGGGAGGGGGCGGGAGCCGCCACAGCCAGATTTGGCCTGAACACTGTTGGTTTTTGTTTTTCAAGATTTTATTTATTTATTTTAGAGAGAGCCTGTGAGAGTGGGGGTGGGGGAAGGAGCAGAGGGGAAAGGATGGAAAGAATCTCCAGCAAACTCCTCCCTGAGCGCAGAGCTACACCATTTTGTACTCCCACCAACCCCGTATGAGGGCTCCAATTTCTTCAAATCCTTATCCACACGTGCTATTTTCTATTTTATTTCTATTATAGCCATCCTAATGGTTGTGAAGTAGTATCTCGTTGTGGTTTTGATTTGCATTTCCCTAATGATGTTGAGCATCTTTTCAGGTGCTTGTTGGCCATTTGTAGGTCTTTGTTTTGGAGAAATGTCTGCCCATTTTAAAATTGGGTTGTCTTTTTGTTGCTGAGTTATAAGAGTTATTTATATATTATAGAGACCAAACTCAAGAAAGAAAAAAGAAACAAAAAACTTCCCCCAGATTTATTCTGGGGCACTCCTTCAATGCTTTTCCAGGTCATTTACAATTTTGCCTTAGCCTTCACTTCCTGTTTGCGCTGAGCCTAGAGATAAGCATGAGATGAAAGCTTAGGGTCTTCTCAGGTTTTTTCTGAGCATTTGTCCTGCCCTGGGCATGCACATTGCTTTCTAAATCCCCCAGTATATATGGGTGCTTCTGAATGCCCTAATTACCCAGAGAAACTCTCACCCCAGCTCTTCCAACTTTTGGCATGTCCATTGTTGTGAAAATTAATAAAAGGAAACCTCCTTTAGAATGAAATCAGGAGGTAGAAGGGGGAGCTCTCACACCCTACCACTCATTGACAATTGCAGACCCCACCGGAAGAGATGTACCTTCCAAGCTGATACTTTCCTACCTGACTACTACCTCAGCAGGAGGAAGAAAGGTTTTCTCCTCCTGGTAACAGCCCAGCCAATGAGAGACTGACACCACTCAACCAATGAAACATCACTACACTTCAACTCCCAGCTTAGTCCAATGGATTTCTTGTTCATAACAGTCTTCCGGATTTCCCCTTTCCTCTATAAAAGTGTTCCTCTTGTTCTCCAGACCTGCCCATGCTTTTGCCGCAGCTAGCTTGTCCTCAGTTGCATTTCTCTGCTATTCCTGAGTAAGCTCATTTTTGCTGGTAAAATCACTGGTTAATGCTGTCCTCGATTATGATATTTTGCCCCAGGTGGCTGTGGGTTTTTCCCTTTGCCTTACAGTGTTTTCCAGGAATGCATTCTGAGTTCCAACAGACAAGCACCTTGAGTCAGTCCCACAGGTAGCCCCCAGACATGTTAGAACAGACAAATGCCATACTGCCAACCTCAGCAACCAGCTGTGGGAGCCCCATACTGGGGACACAGGCTGCTGTCTTCAAGACCTCCACCGCGCTGGGAAGGAGATGAGGAAAGGGTGGGGAAAACACCACAGAGCTTTCCTGCCATGTTCAAGTTTCCTTTTCATTTTGATTCGGTGTTCACTTGGTTGGCACAAACCTTTGCCTGTTTTCCAGAGTTCGGATAAACTTGATTCTGTGTTTGCTCAGTTCCTCGAAGTTTCTGTTTCTTGTTTCCTTCAATTAAACAAAAACTATCCCCTGTCCAGGTGTTCAACAAATACTTGCTGAGTGTCTGACACTGTGAATGAAACAGACTCTATGTCCTCATGGAGCTGCCATCCCAGTGGAGGAGGCAGATCATACACAAGCAAGTTCAGCACTAAGATGATTGCAGGTAGTTATGGGTACCACAGAGTAAATGTTAGGTGGTAGGTGGATGGCTCGTTTCACCTGGGTGGAGTCAGGGAAGGCTTCCCTGAGGAGGCGGCATTGACTCTCAGACTTGAAGTAGAAGGGAGAGGAGGCAAGCAGAACCACGCTCTGGGGTCAGAAGGCACTCCGAGGGTTCCAGGGGCAGAAAGGAAGTAGAGCGGAGGGAGGGGAGTAGCCAGAGAAGAGACGGAGCAGCTACAAAGGCCACATCCTGTAGTGTCCATCTTCCCTTTGTACCATTGGCCTACAGTGGGCCTGGGGTTCTTACAACCACAGGGAGCTTACCGACTAGCTTCTCGAGGCCAGGAATCCCCTGCAATTATAACCAAAACATTCTGAGAGTGTGTGCTGGGCAGTCTTTGTGTGCCCTACCAGAGCCCTTTTCCACCCTTTCCTGCACTGCTCTGTGCCCCCTGGAAGCTGATCGCTATACAGCGGGTCAACTTAGCTGCCTTTTCCTCTCATATCCAGTTGGGTTTGGCCCCGGTAGGGAGATCTGAGGGCTGGAGGAGAGGAGGGTGTAGGTATATACACTCTGGCTCCCACTCTGTTGGTCTGCATGTCTCTACCAAAGCTTGCAACTTCAGTTCTCCACAAATTCCACAACTCCCTCCCTAGCAACTTTAGGCCCAGGCTGGTAATAACTTCCTGACCCCGGGGAGTCGCCATCCCTTGCTGATGTCCCTTCACCCTGCCCATGAGTCCTAGTTGTACCTTTTCTGGGTGCTATCTGTATGATGGCGGACTGATACAGGTAAATGTGTCTGTTTTTCTGAATTCAAAATTCCAGGTTATAGATTCCTGCACCAGGTTAAATGCTGCCAGGATGAAGTCCTCACATTCATCCAAGGTCTTTCACGCATATTACTACGTCTACCTAGAATGTCCTTTCCTTTGTTTCCTTCTCAGGCTTTTGGAGTCAGATAACTCCTCCTCCCAGAAGCCCTCCCCGAACCTGCAGAAGAAGCTAGGTTAAGAGCTCCCCTTGGTGACTGCCTTCATTAGAGCACTTCACCAACTGGACTCATTGTCTGCTTGTCTGACTCTCTAACCAAACTCTGAGCATCCTGAGGGCAGGAGTTTTTTTATTCCTCATGGTGTCCCTGGCACTCAGCACAGTTCCGAGCCCTTCGGGGAACTCAGTAAGCAGTTGGTGGAATAAATAAGCCAGGAATCTCTCTTAACTCTATCTTACACACCCAGGAGAGAGCAACAAAAATAGACTGAATATTTTTTGGCTTTCAGGTTAGACAATCAAGAAATAGTTGTGGTTCACTGTGTGCCAACCACTGGGGTAGGCATTGGGAAACTACAGGAGACACCACAGACCCACCCCTGCCCCCTGGAAGGAAGAGAGCTGGATGATTTTGATAAATTCAAGCATGTTCTGTAAATCGCCATGACCTAATTTAATGGATATTTACAGAATATTATATCAAGCAACTGCAGAGTGTACTTTCATTTCAAGTGCATCCAGAATGTGGATCAAGAGATGCTGGGCCATTAAACAAAGTATCAATAAATCTCAAGGGATTGAAAGTATATGGAGTGCATTCTCTGGCCACAAAGGAATTAAATAAAAAATCACTAACAATAAGCTATCAAGAAATCCCAAATGTTTGGAAATTGACACATTTCTAAATAATGTATGAGTCATAAAAAAAAAATTCACAAGGGAAATAAAATATTTCTAACTTAGGCACAATATGTCAGAGTGTGTGAGATGCAGTTAAAGCAGTACTTAGAGGGAAATAGATAGCTTTAAATGCTTATGTTTGGAGATAAATTTTAAAATCAATGATCTAAGCTTCCATCTTGAGAAGCTAAGAAGAGCCAATGAGACATAAGGTAAATAGAAGAAAGAAAAAATAAAGATAAGACAAAAAGCAATGAAATCAAAAGCAGAAAATAGAAATAGCAAAGCCAAAAGCTAGTACTTTAAAAAGGTTAAGAAAACTGATTAACCCCTAGCAAGACTATTCAAGAAAAGTGAGAAAAAACACGTTACCATTGAAAGAGGGGACATCACCACAGACCCTACAGACATTAAAAGGATAATAAGGGAATATGAAGAGTTTTATACTGATAAGTTCTACAACGTAGATGAAAAAGACAAATTCTTTGAAAATATAAGCATGCTGGGGCGACTGGGTGGCTCAGTCGTTGAGCGTCTGCCTTCGGCTCAGGTCATGATCCTGGGGTCCTGGGATCGAGCCCTGCATCGGGCTCCCTGCTTCGTGGGAAGCCTGCTTCTCCCTCTCCCACTCCCCTTGCTTGTGTTCCCTCTCTCGCTGTCTTTCTCTCTGTCAAATAAATAAATATAATCTTAAAAAAAAAAGAAAATATAAGCATGCTAATTTCAATAAAAGAAAATTACAAGGCACTGTAGTATAATTCAGCAAGGGAATTTTTCTAAGTCCAGAGGGATCTGGAAGGATTTCCCAGAAGTGATATTTAAGCTGACACCTGAAAGAGAAATGGAATCTTACCAGGTTAATAGAATTGTGTCCCAGGCCGCAGAGACAGCATGTGCAAAGGTCCTGACGTTGGAATGAGCCTCGTGTATCCAAATAAAGTCCACCGTAATGGCCCTTTTTTGTTGTTTAGTGACCACACACCTACATCGTTTCCTGGTGTAAACCTCCAGGTGGACCTGCTTGACTTGAACAGAAATGCTGAGACCAAAGCAAACTTACTGGTAAGAGAGACCTTTGGAAGTTTCTGGGCTGTAAACGGGAGGCAATTTATTCTGTAAACTATATCATTCCCTCAGTTTTGGAGCTAGTGTTCCCTTTCATGTGGATGGTGATGCTCCTGTGGCCTCACACTAGGAGCACTCACATCTCTCTAGCATTGCACTTCGTATGTATCATGAGTTCTATGGATCTAATACCTACAACTCTTAGCCCCATTCTACAGAGCAGCAAGCTGAGGCTTCAAAGATGGACCATGTTTTGCCTGGGGTGACAGAGGCCAAGCACTAACCTCTGTGCTCTATCAACCTCTGCCCGACATATGTCTCAACTTTGGAACTGGTTGGACTGAGAGGTTTGCGTCTTGGGCATGGTTTTCCCAAAAAGCCCACAGTCCCTTCCTCATGCCAGCCAGAAATTCTCTTCATAGGGAGAAAACACATACACACACACACACACACACACACACACACACGGACGCACGCAACCCTGACCTTCTTAGCCAATGTGTCCCTCCTCCCATCTCTGCAGAACTGTGGCCACCAAGGTGCAGTGAGGTGCCAGGATCTGATGTGCGTCCGTGGAAGGGGTGGGGAGAGGAGAGAGTCCCTTTTTGCAGCTGAGTGTGTGTGTGCAACTTCCTGCCAGTGAGGAAACATTCGTTCAAATCAGCCCTGGTTCTCCTTTCCCTGCTCTGTCTTCACAGGAGGAATTGGCCGTGAGCTGTGGGCCGCGCTAGCCTCCACCAGATTTCCTGGCCAAACTGAGGAGGAGAGATGCCCTGGACCGTCCTGCTCTTTACAGCCGGTGAGCCTGATGTTCCCCCTGCACCAGCCCCACCCCGCCCACCTGGCCTCTGCTCTGGGGGCAGAAAGCAGCACAGGGTTGCCTTCCCCAGGCACTGGAGAAGGCTGAACGTGGACAGATTTGCCCCAGAGCTTTGGAAATGCCCCAGGAGCATGGCTTTCTCTTAGTGAGCTCCTCATCACCAGCACATCAAGGATATCAGAAATCCCATCCCGCTGGGGTCAGCGGTGCCCACGCCCCATGACTCAGCCCTGCTTGGCTTCCACAGGCTGTTACCCCCGGGGCTGGGGCAACAGGAGGAGCTACTGGGGGGCAGGGGGGAAGCCGGGCAAAGGTCTAGAGGTCCGATAAGGAAAGGCTTGTGTAGACCTCACCTGAGCTAGACACTCTGCTCAGGAGCCTGGGGGCAGCTGGGGAGACACGAGTACCTCCTATAGGAAACTGTACCCCCCAAATCCCAATTCCTGACAGCCCGGGAAACAGGAGCACCCCTTTGCTCTCTGCTCCTCCTGTTCTTTCCCTGGCTCATCCCCTCCAAGCCACCCTGGCCGCCTTGAAGCCCCCACACCGCTTCCATCCTCCCAGCATCTGCCCGCCTGCTCTTCCCTCTGCTGGAATGCTCTCCCCTAGCTCCTCCTATGTCGCCTCTTCAGGGAAGCCCTCCATGGCCTCCCCAGCCAGCGCAGGCTTCCCATTACCCTGTCTGATGGGCTGCACCGTGCTTCTTGTCTCCTTGAGAACGTCAGCCCCCCGAGGCAGGCATGTTGATCTGTCCATCTCGTTCACATTCTGTCCCCAGCACCTAAAACAGGGCCTGACATCAGGTGAGTGCTGTTGACTGAGTAGTAAGGGTATAATTGCATCGCTACGTAATAACCACTGCGATCATAATAAAATGATTCAAACGTAGTGACCCCCAACCAGGTGCCTAGTACCCGAACCCCTCAACATAGCAATGGGGTAGGGTCGGCTACCTACTTGTAAATAAAGTAGGTAAATCTGTTGCCCAAGGCCACAGAGCCAGTAAACGCCTCTGCTCTAACCACTCAGCCTGCCTCCCGTTTCCTGCATTGCAGGCTCCTTGGCAATCCCAGCGCCATCCATCCTGCTGGTGCCCCCACACCCCAGCAGCCAAGAAGACCCCATCCACATCGCCTGCGTAGCCCCTGGGGGCTTCCCAGGGGCAAATTTCACACTGTACCGTGGTGGGCAGGTGGTCCAGCTCCTGCAGGCTCCCGCGGACCAGCTTGGGGTCACCTTCAACCTGAGTGGCGGTGGCAGGGAGGCTCCAGGGGGCACATTTTACTGCCGGTATGGTGTGCTAGGTGAGCCACAGCTGTCAGACTGCAGCAAGCCCGTGCACGTCTCCTTCCCAGGTAAGACCCACCCACCGGCCCTCGCGGCCCACGGCTCCATTGGCTCACCTTCGAGCCTTTGCTCATGCTGTTCCCTCTGCTTGGAGGCCTTTGTGGGACGAACCAGGCCTCCAACTGGCCAGGGCTCACTCACCTTTCCTCGCTGAATTCTCACAGTCATCCCATGCGACGGGTTCAGCGATGCCCCCCATTTTGCAGATAAGGAAACTGAGGCACAAGAGATGAGGGTACTTGGCCAAGTCACACAGCTAGCAGGGCAGCAGAGCTGGAATTCCACGGGCTCCAGTGTCCAGGCGTGAACCCTCCACACTCACTGCACCCCCCTCCCCGGCCACGTAACATTTGTGAGCACCTCCTAGGCACCAGGCACTGTTCTTGGCCCTGTGGTTTCAGCAGTGAGTGAAACAATGTCCCCACCCTCCCCCAGCTGGCATTCTGAGGGGATGCAGACAGTCGAGAAGCAGGGAGTCCAAAAAATATTCAGTGTAGCCCGCAGGGGACAAATAAAGTGGCAGGGATGAAGTACCACCTGGTGAAGGGTGTCGTTTTAAATACAGAGGAGAGTGGCCCGGGAAAGCCTCTCTGAGGGAGCGACATTTGAGCAAAGACCTGAATGATGAGGAGGCAGCCATGTGGGTATCTGTGGCGAAAGGGTGCAGGCAGAGGGAGCTGGCTGTGCAAAGGCCCTGAGGCTGGCATGTGTCTGGTGTGTTTGAGGAACACCAGGGCGCTCTGTAGGGCTGAAGCATAGTGGGCAAGGAGAAAAGTTGGGGGAGAGAAAGGCACAGAGGTGGCAAGGAGGACCGTGCAGGGCCTTTGGCTGCATCAAGGACTTTGGCTCTTCGTCGAAGTGAGACAGAAAGCCTGGAAGGCTGATATTTTCCTGTGGTCTTTTCAGGACAGGAGGTTGGGTGTGGGCTCCAGGATCAAAGAGCAGTCTCCAGGTAGAGCCTCTACATCACCATCCATCAGAACTTTCCAGTTGCAAAGAAAACTTTGTTGCCAGCAGAGGCCCCACTTAAAGAGAACTTTGTTGCTCGCAGAAGCCCCAGTGCCTTGAGGCGACAGAACAGTCTCTGTCTTTGAGCTCCACCGTCAAAGGCCCCCTTCTCTCACCTTGGGCCTGTGGTCTCAGAGTGCGGAGGGGACAACAGCCCTTCTGCCCCAGATGAATGAATGAACAAGGGCTGACAGTGTGAGAATATCAACTATGTGTCTGTTCCTTCCCCTTCCTGGCTTAACTCCTGATTCCCATGGGGATCAGGTCCTCTCCTCCTGTCTCCCCTGAGAGATCCCCTCTCTCCAGGGAGGGGCAGCCAAATCCCTTACAGAGAAGTAAACTCTGAAGCTGGAGCTTCATGCTTTTGTGGCTGACTTCTGCATGGGTTCCAGGGTCTACCATGGGGCTGGGGGTGGATGTCATCTGACCCCCTGGTACGAGGCTGAAGCCAGCAGGACTCTCAGGCTGCAAGTAACTGGAAACTTACTCAAACTGGCTTCAGCAACAAAAGAGAATGTGTTGGTTTGCCAAACTGAAGTCAGTCTGCAGGGCTGACTTCAGGCATGGCTGGATCCAGGTGCTCAAAGATGTCGGGAATCATTTGCCCTCTCTCGGCTCTGCTTTCTTGTGTCTTATTCTCAGGCAGGACCTCCTCTTCATGGTGTCAAAATTGTGCCTAGCAGCTCCAGATATATATCCTACCAGCTTTGTAATGCTGGCCAGAGGAGTAATCCTCTCTTCCCAGTAGTCTAGCCAAGTCTCAGAATTAGCTCTCATTAGTTCATCTTTGGCCCCATGCCCATCCCTGAACCAATCACCATGACTGGGGGGTGAGGAATATGCTAATTGACCAGTCACGGTCACAGGTTTGCCAGATCCCCAGGGTCCAGCTACACCCAGGTCAAATGGTTGGGCAGTATGCAGGGGAGGGCTCGTTCCCAAAGGTAATCTGGAGGAATGACAGGTGTCCCACCTTCACCCTGCACCCCACAACTCCATAACCTGCCCGCCTCTTTCTCTCATGTTCCTTTAGTGCCCACTTGGATACTGGCACTCTCCTTGAGCCTGGCCGGAGCCCTCCTTCTCCTTGCTGGGCTGGTGGTCGTTGCCGTGGTGGTCAGGAAAGGTAACAGAAGGCAGACACAGGCATAGCCCAGAGGCTGCCAGTGTGCGACCGCTGGGACGTGTAAATGAACTCCCAACCACACCCATTTTTTAGGAGCACAGAGGCACACAGCTGGGGAGGTCTTACTCCAAGACTTAGCAGTAAAAAATCTTCCAGAAGTGCAATGTTGGTGGTGGGGCTGGGGAAGTAGATATATATTTTTTTAAGTTACAAAATATATATAACACAAAGTTTCACATTTTAACCCTTAATTTTTAAGTGTCCAGTTTGGCAGCATTGAGTACATTCACTTTGTTATGCAATCATCACCACCATCCATCTCCAGAACTTTGTCATCTGCCCCAACTGAAACTCTGTCCCCTTTAAACACTAACTCTCCATTCCTCCTCCCCCAGCTCCTGTCAGTCACTGAAATTGACAATAAAAAACAAAACAAAACAATATTAGGGGGCACCTGGCTGACTCAGTCGGGAGAGCATGCAGCTCTTGATCTCGGGGTTGTGAGTTCGAGTCCCATGTTGGGTGTGGAGATCACTTAAAAATAAAATCTTGGGGGAAAAAAAACATTTTTTTTACATGCTTGTTTGAAGCTTTTACCAATACACATTACTCATGTAGCTGGGGGGTGGGGAGGATTTCACCACAGCTCTCCTGTTGAGTGGCACATTTGCCAGAGTAGAAGGCAAGGTTGGGTCAACAAATGTATGAGGGAGCCTTTGGAGTCTTTTTTGTTTTGTTTTGTTTTTGCAACTAGGATGCAACCATGACCAAGATCTAATAAATGCTTACTTATTTTTTTGTTCCCAGTTAAAGTAAAAAATTTGCAGAAGAAAAGGTGAGACTGTTTCTGGAGATCCTCAGAGGGCGGTTTGGGGGAAAGAAATACCAAATGGGGGGTGTGGGGCAGAAGTTCCTGATGGGTGTTAAGGACTCTGAGACCTGGCCTGGTTCTGGGGACAGAAGGGCACTTCCCGTGCTGGGTGGGAGTCTCCGTTCCAAACAGCACCCTCTGGTTGGGAAGGCTGCTTAAGAGGAATAGGTGCCATTCATAAAGCACCTAGGGTATGGGGAGCACTGTGCTAGGAGACTGCAGCTGGAGTCCATGGCAGCTAAGCTGGCATTGTAAGTAGCCCCATTTTATAGACAAGCAGACTGAGGCTCAACTTAGTCACACAGGGAGCAAGTGGCTGCGTCGTCCTCACATCCCTTAACCAATGACTGCCCCAAATGGTTGTAATACTCTAGAAAGTCACAGTTGGGAGAGGTGAGTGGCACCCTCTGGGGCGGTGCAGTGCCCAACTTGTAGCCTGTAGGCAGTGGCCCCAGCCTCAGTTTCTCCCCTCTGAGAGGGGTGGACACCCCACTGCCTGGTGGCATAGAGCTAGCCTCAGCCCCAGGGATCGAATCCCGACTTCACCTGGCAGTGGGGCTCCTGCAAGAGAATTTCCATCTGCGGGGACTCAGGGAGGATGCAAAGGCAGGTGGGGAGTGAAGGCCAAGTTTGGAGCCAGGGCTTCCCAGAACAATCCTCCAGCCTGAGAGCAGCAAGTCATCACTCTCCCAAATCCCTTTGTAGAGAGCGAGAATCCTGCTGGGTCCAGATCAACTTCGCCACCACAGGTGTGTATCTTCTTACTCCTATCCCCTGCCAGGGCAGGCTCACCCCCTCAAAACTCTAGCAGGTCTCATTACTTGCTACTGAACCTCTTCTGAGGTCGCTCACTTCCCTTAGGGTTAAGAACACACCCTCCCCTCCTCCCACTGCTAGGTTTCACCTCTCACCTTCTCTCTTCGCCTCATCCTCCGGCCTTCCGCTCACTCTGACCTCTGCCTACAACATTCTTCCTCCCTCTGGTCTTGGTCTAAAGGCCACCTTCTCTGGGAAGCCTTCCCTGACTGCCTAGACAGGGGGTGTGTTTCTACTTACCTGCCTTCAGCACCCTATCATTCTTTTTACCCCTCAGGAGAAAAACACAAGTGTGTATGTAATACTCGCCTCCAGCGCTGGACGCTCAGGTCCACGGGGGACAGACTGCCTGGCACTGTCCTTAAATGGAGCCCCCTTTGTGATCCAGAACGTGTCATCCTGAAGGATTCCACCAGGGGGCGAGGGGCAGCCAGTCTGTGCCACGTGATGCTCCGGAAGGGGCCCGAAGCAGAGAAATTCCATTCTCTGTACTTCTTTCACTGTTCCACACTTTTTTTTTTTTAAGATTATTTATTTGAGAGAGAGAGAAAGAGAGAGAGCACAAGCAGGGGAAGCAGCAGGTAGAGGGAGAAGCGGACTCCCCACTGAGCCAGGAGCCCCACTTCGGCTCGATTCCAGGACCCTGGAATCATGACCTGAGCGGAAGGCAGACGCTTACCCAACTGAGCCACCCAGGCGCTCCCACTGTTCCACACTTTTATTGAGCACCTACTATGTGCTAACATTTGCAGGGGGCGTCCCTCAATGACCAAGACAGGTGGTCTTTGCCCACAAGCCCATACTGCAGTGGGGGAACAGCCCAGGGCCGGCAGGACCCTGTCTGAAGCGAGGAGGGCGGTCCTGGGAGGAAATGGTGTTTAAGCAGAGATCGGCAGGAGCAGAGTAGGGGGGCGAAGAGTAGGCGATTGGGGGAGAGCCTGGGGTGGTGGAAGAGCTGAGAGGTGCTCCCGAAAGTGGGAGTTGAGAGGAGAAACCCATTTATCAGAGGGCTGCGAGAGGCCCCTGGGGGAGGGCTCTGGGCAGAAAAAGGACACCCTTCAATTTACAGCTGGGAACTGTTCACCCTGCGGAATGCGCTGGAAGGGAGGGAAGCATGCTGGGAAATGGGTCCCAAGCCCTTCCTCCCAGTTGACTTGAGGCCTGTGGCTCTGGGGGGAGCGCCCCCAGAGGGCAGTGAGCAGGGATTTTATACTGGCGCTTGGCTTTCTTTTCTCTATTTCAGATATGACCTTTGATAACTCTCTGTTTGCCATCTCCATGGTAAGTCATTGCATTTCTTGGTCCCGATTTTCTGCTGACTGTCCTAACCTCCGGGAGACCACCATCAGGCTGGGCCGACCTGATGTCTCCGAGCTTGGGGGGGCGGGGGGGGGCGTGCTGGGAAAAGCCCAGAATCACTGAGCAGGGATTTGTTTGTGAGCTGAGAGTTGGCTCTGGAAATTGTCAGGGGATGGGAGGCAGCCATGTCCAGGCCGTCGGGTGGCAATGGGCAGGATCCCCGGGCCACCTTTGCCCTCAGTGGGGCCAACCCTATAGAATGGTGACAGGGGACTCAGGGTGACCCGGTGGGGTCACGTACTTTGTAACAGTCCGATGCAAACTGTAGTTCCCTCCTGGTAAAGAAAAACCTGTTTTTATGTTCAGTTTCAGGGACTTCAGCTTAAATATCCAAGTTCTGCGTTTCTGTTTCAGTGGGGAGGGTCTCATCGCATTCTGCCCCTTTGCAAGAGGTTTTGTTCTCCCAGATCACACGGTGTTGGGGATGAGATTTGAACCTGGTCTATGGGACTCCTCTGCACAGCTGCATCTTGGGTAGATGATGATGATGATTAATTATTATTATTTTATTAAGTTAGAGATAGATGAGCCTTGGAAACCATGGATCAAGGAAATGTTCATCCGGCTCCTCTCCAGAGTAGGGGACAGGTTTGGGGTGCAGGTGTCCCCCCTCGAGGTGGCCTCCGATGCCCCATTTGGACAAGTGGGCACTTTGGGACTGCAGTCAAGGAGCCGGGTGGGGAGTCCGGTGTGCCTAGGGCACCATAATGGGGGAGGATTGGGCTGGTTCAACACACCCTTCCTGGGCGTTGGGACAAGAACAGGACAAGGCCTTTAATTCTTCAGAGCTTTCTAATTTCTACCGGGGGGTGTGGTAGACAGACGATGCCACATGGGGTAGGAGTGAGAGGGAAGCTCACTTCTCCCTTAGATGGGAGAGCCAGGAAGTCTCAGAGATGGCCAACAAGCAGGGGATAGCTACGGAAGATTGCCCCAGGCTCGGGACACGTTCTTGGCACCGTCTAGTATAACAGGAGTGGAGCCGAGTGAAGAGTCGAGGGGAGCCCCGCGGGGAACTTTGATTGTTGCCCCAAGTGTGATGGGAGCCATGGAGGGTTCCAAGCAAGGGAGAGAGGTGACCGATTCAGGTGCTCACCCGCGCCCTCTGGCGGCTGCGGGGAGGACAGACTTGGGGGGCGTGGGCCGACCGGAATGTGAGGGTGTATTCCGGGGGTGGGGAGTAGTTACCCGGACAGAGGCGACTGTGCTGGTCCAGGCAAGCTAAGGGGTAGGCGGTAGGTGGTTTGGTCCAGCGTTTTGGCAGCGGAGGTGGAAGAAGCGAACAGATGCAGGTCAGATCGATTCAGGGGACAGGAAACCGCACTGATTTTGGGTTGGATGATGGGCGGAAGGAGAGGCGGAGGGAGGCGCGTGGGAGTCCTGGGGAGCAGCAGGCGTGGGGGGACCACCTTACCCGGCGATGCCCAAGGGCAGGTGCAGACGCGCATCTGGAGTTCTGGAGAGAGGAGCAAGGAAATTTAAACCGTATACGAACGTGGGAAGGAAGGAGCTTGGCCCCGCTGGCCAGTTCAGCCCTGGGCGGTCTCAGTTCCGGGAACAAATCCTGTGCTGTTAAGAAAAAAAAAACCCAAATCCGGCAGGCAGGGCAAATATTCTAAAACTTTCTGTGAGAAGACGTGCTGCTCAAGGCACTGCCCTGGGGATTTTTCCTTTTTCCCTTTTTTAAAAAAAGACATTTAAAATGAAACAAGTGGAAACAGTCAAGGAGAAAAATTTTAAAAGTATCTTAGTCCTTGTGACTATATATGTGTTTATTTATTTTTTTAATTAAAAAAACCTGGGGCACCTGGGTGGCTCAGTCGTTAAGCGTCTGCCTTCAGCTCAGGGCATGGTCCCAGGGTCCTGGGATCGAGC